CCCCAACCCCCCCCCCCCCTTGTGAATGAGTAACGGGTAGTTGTTACACCTACTCATTCACCAAATAAAGCATAAAGTTATAAATAAATACACATCCTAAAAAAATCCTTTATTTGAAAAATATAAAACAGTTTTTGACAAGTCCTTAAATAATAATTAAAAAAATCCCCAAAAAGTCCATCGATGTAATCCAAACGTCAATCACTTGGTCCAGCGATGTAGATCCATGCCAATCAGAATGGACGACGGCCGCCGACACGTCCAATCCCGACAAACACTGGCCGGAAAATGACAGCTCTGCTTCCGAAAGTAAACAAAAGGGTGGAGTGAGTCATGACATCACGGGACTTGCTCCACCCTTTAAATACATTTCATTAGGGGGCAGAGAGCTGTCACTGAATGTCAACAAAGGGGCGGGGCAAGTCCCTAGATGGCATGGCTCACTCCTCCCCTTTGTTGACATTCGATAGCAGAGCTGTCAACTTTCAAAAACTTTTGAAAATCTGTGTTGTGTTTTTTCAAATGAAGGACTTTGGAGCACACTGTGGTGTGTTTATTTACAATTTCACTGTTTATTTGGTGAATGAGTAGGGGTTACAACTACCCCTTACTGATTCACAAGGTGGGTGGGATCTGGGTGCCCTCCTTTATGAAAGGGGGCATCCAGATTCCTATGAGCCCCCCCTGCCCGCAGAACCCCACAAGCACTGGGCCAGGGTTGTGGAGAAGAGGCCATTGTCCTCATCAACATGGAGACAAAGTGCTTTTCCAGAGGGTAGCCCCCGGCAAAGCACCCTCCCCATGTTGAGGGCATGTGGCCTGGTATGGTGCAGAAGGGGGGCGGGGGGGGGGATCTGCACGCTGTTTTGTTTAATTGTCTATGTGGAATGTCAAAAGTAAAAAAAAAACAAAAAAACTTTCAGGTTCCATTCACACCTGGGGGACAGTGTTTCAGCGCTGCTTTTGCAATTTTTATGTGCGTTGAGTGCGTATTACAGACGTCTTCTGTTCATATGTCAGTGCATTTTTGAAGCCCACTGATCAGTGTGTTTTCATTGAAGTCTATGGAGAAAAAACAAGCTGATTAGCACGACAAAAGAAGCTCAGGAACTATTTCAAGCGTCAGGCGTATTTATATGCGTGATTCCGCGTCTTTGTGTGGACATCCCCCATAGGAATGTATGGGATTTCACGTTTCAGCGTGGAAAAATTAGCGCGATCTAATGCATCCAAAATAAATGAAAATTCAGATATGGACGAATCTGAATAATGAAATGAATTGACTTTCTGACCCAAATCCTGAAATAACAAAACGAAACAAACCAAAACAAATAGGCGCACGTGTCTAGTTAATAAAGGCAGATATACAGGTGAAACTTGAATAATTAGAATATCGTGCAAAAGTAATTGCACGGTAATAGTTCAGGTACTTGAATGTATTTTTTAAGATTTAACTCCTGAGTTTAGAGTCACTTTAGGGTCTGGTGTTCCTCCATGACTGACCAGATGGATGGGAGGAAGATCCATGTGCTGGCTGAGAGGCTGCTGGCTGGGGCGCATCAGAGGTTGCTATGGCAGCCATTGAAAACGAGGCTTGGACAGCAGGAGACGGCAGACCCAGACAAGCATGAAGCCAAGCCTCTCCTCCACTAGACTCGGCCCTCTCCAGCACTCTTCTAATCAGATCCTCCATAGCAGAATGTAAGACACAGCAGGGAGGAGAGGAGGGAGGGCCGCAGTGACGTAGCTGGAAATCCAGGAACAGAGCTCAGAGAAATACAGAGGACACAGACTATGGCGGTGAATATGAGATGAAAGATTCCACGCTCCAGCTAATTGTTTACATTCTGAGACTTGTGTGGAAGCATCACTGCCAGCAACTGCAAACTTAAACAGCAGAGAGGTTAGTAACAGGAAGTCCGGCGTTCATTTCATGCGGGGGCTTTGCTACATGCTATAGCCCCTGTACGTTTATTACAGGTATTTATATCGCGCTGACAATTTACATAGTGCACATTCACATCAGTCCTCAAGGAGCTTACAATCTAAGGTCCCTATCTCGCAGACATACATACATTAGACAGGAACCAATTAACCTTCTAGCCTGTCTGTGGAATGTGGGGGGAAACCCACGCAAGCACAGGGGGAACGTGCAAACTCCTTGCAGATGGTGACCTGACCAGGAGTTGAACCGGGGACCCCCAGTGTACATTAGCTGTGTCAGCCGCTGTTATTACATGGACAATGCCTGGCACTGTGTGACATGTCTGATACATGCTGTGTACACAGTGCCTGCTGCTCCACCTACACACAGCCTGGGGAGATGGACAATTGCACAGTTCACTGACCAATCAGATTTGGGAGGTCAGTGAAATGGCAATTCTGATTGGTGCATGCAGACTACTGGTCTCTGTATACTGCTGGTTACAGTGGACATTTACCCCCCTTCACTAAAAACCACATCACCATACAGCTCTGCATGCTGATATGAAATCATCTCACATTCATTAGTTAAATACACATATTTTTCTTACACTTACCATAACTGTTTTTCCACTTCCTTGTCCTCTATATCAGTAGTTCTCAACCTGTATAACCTCAGGACCCACATTTGTCCTTGGTCATTAAAATGTGACCCAAGTCGCACTTCAATGGAACGCATGGCATTGCAGTACCGCACGTTATGATGCAGGCAATTCAACTGTGGGCGGGAGGTGTGCTTGGGGTGTCATTCAAATGAATAGCAACGCACCTTCCGCACCAGAACACATAGTAGGTGTGATTGCATGGTACAGTGCATTAATGGCACAAGACTGTTCGATTAACGCACTGTACTAGTGTGAACGGGCCCTCAAAAACACTGACAGACACACACAACCACAGATATTCTCACACACATATGCACAATCTTGAAATTTTTTTTAAAACTTTTTTTTTAAGGTCCATCACACATTCATTAGTTAAATACACATATTTTTCTTACACTTACCATAACTGTTTTTCCACTTCCTTGTCCTCTATATCAGTAGTTCTCAACCTGTATAACCTCAGGACCCACATTTGTCCTTGGTCATTAAAATGTGACCCAAGTCGCACTTCAATGGAACGCATGGCATTGCAGTACCGCACGTTATGATGCAGGCAATTCAACTGTGGGCGGGAGGTGTGCTTGGGGTGTCATTCAAATGAATAGCAACGCACCTTCCGCACCAGAACACATAGTAGGTGTGATTGCATGGTACAGTGCATTAATGGCACAAGACTGTTCGATTAACGCACTGTACTAGTGTGAACGGGCCCTCAAAAACACTGACAGACACACACAACCACAGATATTCTCACACACATATGCACAATCTTGAAATTTTTTTTAAAACTTTTTTTTTAAGGTCCATCCAGTCTCCCTATCTTGAGAGAACTGGAGTGAATCCTGGGGTCCAGTGTGGGCTGTTGTGCTGTGACAGAGCTCCATCTATATGTGCATTGCTTCTAATGACCCACCAGTTGAGAACCAAAGCTCTGTAGCTTACCAAACATGTTACACTCTGACTGTACAATCTCCTTTAGCTCTACTAACAACTATGTAGGGCAAGGGCCTGCCTAATAAGATAGATTGGTTAGACTAGGCAGGTCCTCATATTACATACTTTTGATAAACCTTAAAGTTGATTGTATGGAGATTGTATGGTCAGATTGTAATGTGCGTGGTGACTCTTAGGCATAAGTATTGTAGCCCATGCCTAAGGCCCCATTCAAACAAAAAATCAGCAAAGATGTCACCAGCACACCATAAGATTTCAGCAAAAGTCCATTTAATGACAAATTGCCATTCAATTACAAGAGCTTTCGGGGCCTCAGGCTCAGAATGACCTATGACCTAGGTTAACTATTATTCCGGTAAGGAGTGCAGCAAGTTACCTATTCCCATTCAAACTAAGGCGCATTGTGAACGTGCGTCAAACGTGCACACTTCAATGTGCTTTCATGATACGTGCACAAACGCGAAATGCGCTTGCGCTGCCATTACCAGGTAATGGCACACCATGGGCGGGCAAACAAACACTTTTTTTTTTGTTCCCCCGCGCCTCACAGGAAAGGAAAAAAAAACGCGGAACGCATGTTGCCAAAATTTGCAACAGGTACTACTTTTCCGCTTTTGGCACGCACCCAAAGACCCATGGTGATCAATGGGGACTCGTGTCAAACACAGGAAGCAAAGTCCCGCCAGGTGCCTGTGACTTCCTGGTGTGAACAGGGTCTTAGGGCTCAGTCACACTAAATGCAGTGCGTTCCGTCCCGATTTTGGCCAGAACGCACTGCCTCACATTGCGGCCAGCTCACTTTTTAGTGGGGTAGGAGGGGCGTGGCGGGCCATTCAAGTGAATGGCACCGTAGCCACGCCCTCCGGCCGCAATGCGATCCGCCGCACGGGATCGCAAGGCACATTGTGCCTGCGGTCCGGTCCTGTGCGGTGCAATCAAAATAGTGCTTGTAGCATTTTGATCGCACAGGATCACTTGAATGGCCCGCCACGCCCCATCCTGCCCCACTAAAAAGTGAGCCGGCCGCAATGTGAGGCAGTGCGTTCAGGCCAAAATCGGGACGGAACGCACTGCATCTAGTGTGACTGAGCCCTGGGATGGTTACATCAAAGAGCATTGCTGGAAAATCTTATCTGTAAACTAGGAGATCTCAGGGAGTATTTTTCCCCCTGAGATGGTCCTCTTAAGCATTAGTGATGTAACTCATGCCTAAGTGATGCATTATAGCAAACACTTGGCTACCTCTCCGATACCTTCCAGGCCTCTTTGTGGGAGCAGCAAATCCTGAGCTCACAAACATTTGTTTCCTACTTCTGTGTACTCCCCTCTAGTTCCCCCATCCAGGTCCCTCGCTGCTGTTTGAGGAGGGCCGTTAATCCATAGCTACAGGTGTGGGCGGGACCGCCAGTTCCCTACTGCCTCCTCGCATGACACGACTTATCTTCTGGATCCTGACAGTACTCCTCCGCTGGACAGCCGATAGGAGTCGTCCATGTCAAGCAGACAGTGACATGGACACTCAACGAAGGACCCCGCAGGAAGTACACAAAGGAAGAGAGAAGACTCGGGAGCTGAGGGTCTCATGACTGTGGCTTTAGGTAAGTAAAACAAGTGTTTTGCTTTTTCCTCTAGCAATCAGAGGTTGGGGGGGTTTGAAATGATCCTGGAGGTGTGTTTTAGTGCATGGGTTGTGACATGCTAAAATGCATGTGTTCGCATTCCCCAATACGTCATGTCGTTTTTTTTTCAATGTCTTAGTGCGTTGGGAAGCCCTTGGACATCAATGGAAACATTTTGAGGGGGGAAATTTATCAAAACTGGAGCAGACAGAATATTGAGCAGTTGCCTGTAACAACCAATCAGCTTCTATATTTTATTTTCAAAGCCTAACTGAACAAACTGAAAGTGACACTAAACTCAGGAGTTAAATCTTAAAAATGCATTCAGGGACCGTAACTATTCACAAAAATGGATCTTATTTGTGTATCACTCGGCTGTATATCCTCCAAATCATCTCTGAATTGGTGCTGACACTGTCCTTCCTTCTGGAGGGTGGCTACTTTTGTTCCCCATGGTCCCTGTGTGTGGTGTAAAGTAGTCACCGCTCCAAGCTCATTCCCAGGATGAACTACAATCTCAGGTTTAATTTACTAATTTGTATTGAGATTGTAGTCCATCACAGGAGTGAGCTTGGAGTGCTGACTACTTTACAACACACAAAGGGACCATGGGGAACAAAAGTAGCCACCCTCCAGAAGGAAGGACAGTGTCAGCACCAATCAGAGATGATTTGAGGATCTACAGCTGAGTGATACAGAAATAAGATACATTTTTGTGAATAGTGCAGGTACTTGAATGTATTTTTAAGTAAACTCTTGAGTGTAGTGTCACTTCAGAGAAGAGGATAATTTGCCGTGGGCAGCTGCTCCAGATTTTGCCTGCTCCAGTTTTGACCATTCAAGTGAATGGCACCGTAGCCACGCCCTCCGGCCGCAATGCGATCCGCCGCACGGGATCGCAAGGCACATTGTGCCTGCGGTCCGGTCCTGTGCGGTGCAATCAAAATAGTGCTTGTAGCATTTTGATCGCACAGGATCACTTGAATGGCCCGCCACGCCCCATCCTGCCCCACTAAAAAGTGAGCCGGCCGCAATGTGAGGCAGTGCGTTCAGGCCAAAATCGGGACGGAACGCACTGCATCTAGTGTGACTGAGCCCTGGGATGGTTACATCAAAGAGCATTGCTGGAAAATCTTATCTGTAAACTAGGAGATCTCAGGGAGTATTTTTCCCCCTGAGATGGTCCTCTTAAGCATTAGTGATGTAACTCATGCCTAAGTGATGCATTATAGCAAACACTTGGCTACCTCTCCGATACCTTCCAGGCCTCTTTGTGGGAGCAGCAAATCCTGAGCTCACAAACATTTGTTTCCTACTTCTGTGTACTCCCCTCTAGTTCCCCCATCCAGGTCCCTCGCTGCTGTTTGAGGAGGGCCGTTAATCCATAGCTACAGGTGTGGGCGGGACCGCCAGTTCCCTACTGCCTCCTCGCATGACACGACTTATCTTCTGGATCCTGACAGTACTCCTCCGCTGGACAGCCGATAGGAGTCGTCCATGTCAAGCAGACAGTGACATGGACACTCAACGAAGGACCCCGCAGGAAGTACACAAAGGAAGAGAGAAGACTCGGGAGCTGAGGGTCTCATGACTGTGGCTTTAGGTAAGTAAAACAAGTGTTTTGCTTTTTCCTCTAGCAATCAGAGGTTGGGGGGGTTTGAAATGATCCTGGAGGTGTGTTTTAGTGCATGGGTTGTGACATGCTAAAATGCATGTGTTCGCATTCCCCAATACGTCATGTC